TCAAACTATTCGCCACATTACAGTTCATATTATTGATCGATAACTAGTACTATAAATTAAGCTAAAGAAAATAGTACAAAGCTTCAAAAATTTATGCTGTTATAGGTGATTATTGTTATGTTTTAAAAGAATTTAATTTAATAATATGGTACGAGTACGATATATATAGCTGGATCACGTGTTTTTAGCAATACTATACGATTAAGCTTGTTTGGTCGGTGTCATAGAGGGGAGAGAGAACACCTGAGCCAAATGAAGGACTAAATGTAGATCGTAATTTATGTAAGCGTCTTTGTATATAAAATATGTGATTCTAAATTTCTAATATTATCTATTTAAAAGGTAAAAGATAAAATATGGTATATATAATACATTACAGATACATAAACATTTGTAACAAGCGTATATATAATTAACAAAAAAAATCGAAGATAAGTCTTACTAACAAAATTGTATTTTTATTTTCATTCATCAAAAACAGAATTTCATGGGACTAGATTTATCTTCCCAATTTCGGATCTCTTTATATCCAGTTATCTATATTTTTTGCATAATATATTAATCAATCTTCGTCTTCCAAACCACAAAGAGAATTACATGAGACTAAAATTATCTTCCCTGTTTCCGATTTTTTTTTAATTATCTCTCTAAAAAAGTTTGCATAATCTTAATAATGTTGTCAGCTTCCAAAGCTGCTGTTAATTCCAACCTTTGGGATTAAAATCACCATCTTTCCGTAAGAGGAAGACGAAAGTCTGGTAAACGTAGCGTTACGTGAATTTTTAAGGACAAAACCCCCAAGGCCAAGAACTATTGACCACTATTATCAACAATGAATAAATATTAGAAACTATTGAAGATTTTCCGAAAGCAAAAATTCCGATTAGAACCCCACTTGAACTACCGAGAAAACCCCATCTAAAAAAAAAGATAAATGGTTTTTTCACAACCAACATATTGCCATTAAAATCACTCTAGCGAGAAGTATAGATATTATTTCAACAGATTTTTACTCATAGTGGATCACCATGTTGTAATAAGAAAATTGACCAGCAAAAATTCTGTATCGGAAACAGAAAATGGCGTGATATCTTTTAGCGTCTTCTTACAAAAATTTGCCCATAAAACCAAAAAATAAGCCGATTTTTTTTTTTGTTATTAAATATATAATTTTTATAGCAAATGCGTTAAAATATGCCGATTCAGTAGAAAAATATTCACCAAATTCATTGTTATTGTAAATTTGTAATGAAATAATATAATTCAGTTCTCTTTTATTAAATTTTATCATACTTAATTCTATATCGATGCATTCATTTATTTTTGCATAGTAGAGGAAAATATTGTTTTTAAAAAAAACAGAGGAGAACTAGACGAACCGAAACAAGCAGCAAAACGAATAAAACAAACGGATTTGGAGAATTAACAACAACAACAAAAACAACAACAGATTGTAATAAGAATAGAATGCTCGTGAAATAAAGCTTAATCTTCGCTGTCGATTGATTAGTGATCATGTGCCGCGACAGACACGCTGACCACAATTTAACACATCTGAGCTCTTTCTTTATGTTCCTTTTTCTAAATATAAACTCAAATCTTTGACAAAAAAAAAACTCAAATCAAATCTTTCTTCTAAATTAAAAAACTTACAATTAGATCTTATCTCTCTAATGTAATCACTTTAAAAACTTATTTAACTTTATTTTCATAGCGGAGAAAAGTAATGATTGATTGCTTTGGTTGACCTTGTGTAAATATATATATATACATATTTATGTTCACCCGCTATTATAATTTAAGTCTCCTGTTAGAACTTTTTATCTCTAGATCTTCTTAGTTCTCTCATGATCATGTTCATGTTCATGTTCAATCCTATCCACAGAGATATATCATATTTGTTGAATAATGATTTGATATAGAACTATCGAGATGTCTCTAATTTTTTTCATTATCTTTTGTAATTGCTGTTATCTTGGAAACGTTTTAAAGCTTTGTCTGATATGCTCATCAAATAAAGGAAAAAGAGAGAGAGAGAAAAAAAAAAATTATGCCTGATATTGACTCTCCGACGAAAACTTGGTGAGAAGACCATTCATGTAATTTAAATGGAACACACGAAGAAGATAGTAAAATTCGGTTGGAGCTAGGTCCTCATGCCTATCACTAGACTACCATCTAATATAAATGCTATATAAAAAATAAAAAACACATTTGATATGATCTTATAAATTTAATATTATACAATAATGATATTAAAATATTTTATCGCTTATTTATTATTAGAAATAATTGGAGAAGAAAATTTTATTGTATCCTACTAATCAAGTACTTTAAATATGTAGTGAAACTTGAAAACGAAATAAAAATTCTCAGATTTCGATAAATTATTTAGCATATTTAATTTATATATTTATAAAAGTTTACATTATATGAGAGTTAAAATTATATTAATATTACCACTATATATGTATCTTATATTTTATATATAACACAATTCAATAAACTATTTTATTCAATAATATTAAACATTTACCGTTCAAAAATTATGGTGGTACAATAGTAAGAGTACAAAATTTTGTATCATTAACATTTTATTTGAACCCTAAAGCTGATCTCTTTCTTCGCCATATTTTGTTATCGCCAATTTTCTACCGTGTCAACGAGGTAGTGCGAAAGGAGTTGAGATTGTACTACAGCAGTACAATTAAGTTCTTCTAGAAGATTTTACTGAAATGGTCGCTACTTTTCAACATACAAGGAATTTGCATCTAATGAATCAAAAGTAAATTGCATTACCCTATATTTCTCCAATGTATTAAAATCTGAGATTTTGTGTTTCGTTCTCCACAGCTCACTCTTCGAGTTTACGTTTTTTCTTTGTCGTGTTCTACTTTATCTTTTCGAAACATATTTTCCTTATTTTCTTGGCTTATTATATTTTAACTAAAAAAAGATGTAGTTTAATTTTTACTATACAAGAATTTGTAGTTTTCATGCTCGAAACTATAGGATCTCAGAGTCATATTCATATAAACAACGCGTAATAAATACAAAAGTTGGCGAGTATTTTTCTCTGTAAACTTTGTCCTAATTACATACTAGAAATTGTTACAAAGAAAAACAACGAATAAGGTAGATGGGTTTGAAAATTCCGATTGATGTCGTTGTTACTAAAATATTTAAACGATTTCTGTATTACGTGCAAGTTGATGAAATACATTTTCCTTAAGTTTCCAAATTTTATGTAAATTTTTTGTTTTAATCATTGTTGTGAAAATTATATTAGCATTATATTGGTTAAATGTTTTTACTTAGGTCTAAGTTAAGTGAATAGTTCATTAATAGTACTTTAAATCTGTTTTTTTTGTTCTCTTGTTCATTATATTATTTTTTGTGTCATTATTCAGAATTATCTTTTAAAAATACGTTTTTCTTTAGGCCTATGGGTTTCTAAATACGGCCCTGGATACGTGTTTTTGTGGTGCAGCAGATTAGTGCATTAGCTTAATAAATAAATAAAACAATGAGCTCATCGATGAAAATATGAATGCTCAACGTCGGTCGGAGTAAGTGTATGCGCCTCCCGAAATGCCACGTGTGTGTTGTTGATCAAAGAACATGGGCGTGTGTGTGTGATCTCTTTGACCAGTCAAATCACTCATACTTTGGCTCTTTTCTAATTTGTATGCGTATAAGCAAATTATGTGTATAAGCTCTGCAAGTATACCCACGTCGTAATAATACTGTACACGCTCCGATTAAAGACAAAACCAGACGACGCAGTGCGGTTCTAATAGTAATGAAAATATTAGAACAGCATCGCATTTTCCATTCAGTCTGTTTTTAACATTTTTTTTAAAAAAAAAGTAAGTCTGTTTTTAACATTGTCATGTATTCTATTGAGAGTTTTTTTTACAATATATCTCTTCTTAGAAATAATGTTTGCAAATGGTTGTCCTTCAAAATACTGAGATGAATGAATAATAATTGGGGGTATATATAATTTGAGATGAATAATATTCATTTTGTTCATTTTTAAGTGAATAAAAAACTTCCTCATTTTCCTCTTCTTTATTCCTCCAACTAACTATGAATGAGATGAATATTACATTTTACTTTTTCAATCCCAATTTTGAGAGAAATCTATTATTCTTCTAAAAACATTTCTCTAAACAGGCAACCATTTGTTGCATTTTATCTTGCATTGTATAAACGGGGGTTTTCAATAACAATGCCATAGATTAGTAAAACCTTTGAAAAAGGCATATGTGTGGACGTGGTAGAGGCGTAGAGCGAAATCCCACACATCGATAATGTGAATTTTGTATCTTAATAGAAGTTGTGTTTCGAGGAATGGATGGGCTTATTTTAGTTATAAAGTATAAAACTTTCTTCCTTGATAAACGCACAAAAAATCAGTTCAATATCTTCATTAGTTTAACATTGATAAGTTACTCACCAGTCAGCACAGAAGTAAGTAAAACAATACTCTACCATCTTTATAACCTTTCAATATATATATATATATGTTTATTTTCTGTTACATGACGTCCATGCCTGTTCGCATAAAATAAAATATTATAAGAATATTAATTTTCACTAGCTTACATTTTTTTTTTTCGTACTATACAGAAATAAGAATAAGACGAAGTTTGAGATAAATAAACTGTTTTAGGTAATACTAAAATTTTGTTGATAAACCTTTAGAAATCTAACATATGAACCGTAATGCGAGTGTCAAATTCAAAGCTCGAAACATATCAATAAAATTTACGATATAGGGTAATTTTTCAAACAAGTTTTTTCTAGATTCAACGTTAATATTATACCTATCAAATTTAGATCTATGTATATTTAAAAAATGAAAATACGAGATTCTCTGAAATCGTTTTATTAAACAAAAGTTGTCAGGAGAGGGGGGCATATAATATATAATTCAATATTTGAAAAATAAGATTCGCACTATATTGTTCAAATTAAAATAAGAAGATAATTTTATTATATTGTTCATAAACAAATAATAAAAAGGCCTACATAAATACAACCGTCGATCGCTTCACTTATTTCCTTCATACTATCAACTCTTCTCTCCCTCTCTCTTCCTTTTCCGGCATAACTTGTGTGTTACCCTAAACTCCATATCCTGTTTCATCGATAAATTAAAGTGCCTTTGCTACTAATATCTATCACTCTTACTACTTGTCGAATAATAATTCAACAAAAAAAAAAAATGTCGGGAAGAAGATCACGTTCGAGGCAATCATCAGGAACTTCAAGGATCTCAGAAGATCAAATCAATGATCTCATTATCAAGTTGCAACAGCTTCTTCCTGAGCTCAGGGACAGTCGTCGCTCCGACAAGGTACGCTAAATCTAACTAACTCAACTACCTATGTAATATAGATGTGTATATATGGCATGAAAAATAATGATATCTTCTATATCGACAGGTTTCAGCAGCGAGGGTGTTACAAGATACGTGCAACTACATAAGGAATCTGCATAGAGAGGTTGATGATCTAAGCGAGAGGTTATCTGAGTTACTTGCAAACACAGACACTGCACAAGCTGCTTTAATCAGAAGCTTACTTACCCAATAATTCCTATCTTTTTGTTCTTCTTCTTCTTCTTCTTCTTTTTTATTGTTTACTATAATAATAATAATAATAGTTTGCGGATTGATTTTTCTATAGATGATGACCTTATAAACGTTGAATGATACGAGTTCGTCACTTCTGCTTTGGTCATAAATATTCGCTTGTTTCCAATATAAAACCTTTGCCCTTTTTCGGTTATCTTGTTTGTCTCCTTTTTCATATATACATTCGGTTAGGGTTTTGTTCACCAAAAGACTTGGCTATGTTCATTTTCCAAGCTTTTATTTGTTTTGTCTTTTTTAGTAATTTAAAACATGTCATAACAAGAGCTCTTATATGAAGAACAACGAATTTGTAATTTAAAATATGCCATTTAAGAATTTCATGTTAATTTTTGTATGGATCTATTGAGATAAGAAAAACCTTATAAGCCTAAGAAGATGGTTTCCCAAATCATCCAAGAACACATATTATGAATTAATTTATGGTCTTTCAAAATGTCGTCAAAAGAAGAATACAAAATTCAAGTTGATTACTAAATGGGTGGATATATTATAAAATAATTAGTTATTTGGAGACCGATGGATGAAACTGTCATTTCCGTATATATATTAACATTGAAGGAATTGGAAGATTATGTTTATGGGCAATACAGTATGGGGTGAACTTGACGCTATGCACTCAAAAGAAGCACAAAAAGCTACAAATTTTATGCCATAACCTAATTTCGATTTCTACCGCTTTTTATTTTTAATTTGAAAATATTATTCCCACCAAACTTATTTGAGAGATTTTTGCTTTCTTATAATAACGAGAACTCGTGCCGCAAAACCCAACCAAAACTAATGGTTTCGTCAATGATGATTGAAATTGCACCGAGTCTAAACACTTACATTTTTATATGGTGAATCTTCAATGAATATATTTTGTAACAACATACATTATGAATTTAAATCCGGATAATATATAATACAATAACGATATTAGGACAAACTACTATTTCTACATATCTTTATCCACAATGAATTTTTTGTCATATATATTCAAGAAATGAAAAAAATAACTACATAGTCATTTTCTCAGAGTTTAAGAAAACTCACATATTATTATATTAAAGATCATGTCCACTATAATCTTGTATATTAAATGGTAACCGATTGTTCTCTATTTAATTACATAGCTATAATAATTTATCATAAATAATACGATCATTTGAAATTATTAAGAAATCAATAAGAAATAACAAAATAAATCATGTAATATATACTACATTTTATAAAATAAAAAAAGTCAGCTAGTAAATTTATAACCAAATAAAAAGAAGGAAAATTCATGGGAAGAGTGTGGGGGACACGAGAATTGCACGTGACGTAAATGAGTCAATTAATTGGTAATTAATAGGGGTGACTCTGACAGGAAGTTAATACAACACGGAAACTCTTTTCTCCAAATTCTCTCTAATTATAGTTTTTCCAAAATTTTACAATTCCAACCCCTTTCTCTCTTTGCTTCTCTAATCTCAATTCCAAACCTCTGCATTGATTTCACATTTTGAGCATCACCACTCTCGTTTCTACGTTCTTCCTTTCACCGGAGGAAGAATGTCGGCGGTGATAAAGATCGATCCATAGCGTTTTTATTACTGTTTGTTTCCTATTATTTGTCTCCAGGGTTTTGGTTTTTGGATGATTAGACCTTTATATAGGATTAAATGGGGAATTGCTTTGGATCTTGCTCAAAGATAAATGATAATGAGGACGATAATGTTGACTCCTCAGTGAACTCCAAACCCTTTTCACGTAAGCTCTTCTCATTTCTTTGATCTATCTCTCTGTTTCTTGTTAATTGTAACTAAATTCTTACTGGAATTTTTGAGCATAACTTGTCCTTTTGCACATTGTCCTGGATTTTCTGAATGTTAATGCATTGATGGATGAATCTAAGAAAGTTTTTTAGGAGATGGTTTTATGTAGTTATTCGATTTATCTCTAATGATGAAAGTAGCAGAGAGAACTCAAATGCCCTGTTCTGAAAGTTAGTAACTTTGCTGTTGATAGTTCTGTTTATCCATTCTCATTTTGATGCAAGAATGTGGCATTGTTCTTGTCCAGGAGCTGATAGTGATACTGGAAGAAGCTCGAATCTGTCATATCCATGGAGTTTAAAACCTCTGATTGCAGGAAAATGTGAAGCTAACATCACTCTACCTGCACCGCGCGGAGAAGGAGACATAATGCATTCTCAATATTTGAAGTCCTTTACCTTAGATGAGCTAAAGAATGCTACAGGAAACTTCTGTCCAGAGAGTCTAATTGGGGAAGGAGGGTTCGGGTTTGTTCACAAGGGCTGTGTTAATGGTGGACCTGGAATCGAACTTTCGGTTGCTGTGAAGAAGCTTAAAACTGGAGGGCTTCAGGGACATAAGGAGTGGCTGGTAAGCTTCCTTTTGAATTATTTTATTATGATTTCACCTTGTGACTATACTCTTTTAAAATCTGTACATGTGTGTATGATTTTCTCCAAAGAGGGAAGTGAATTATCTTGGAAGATTGCATCATCCGAATCTAGTGAAACTGATTGGATACTCCTTGGAAAACGAACACCGCCTTTTGGTTTACGAGCATATGCCTAATGGTAGTCTTGAAAATCATTTGTTTGAAAGTAAGTAAAGAAACTCTTTTTTAAATCCAAAACTCTTGTGTTACTGTTTCTTCTATCTGGATTTCTCATGATCTGAATCCTGCTTATTCTAGGGGGTTCCAATGTGCTTTCTTGGTCACTGCGTATGAAAGTCGCGATTGGTGCTGCTCGAGGACTATGTTTTTTGCACGAAGCTAATGACCAAGTCATTTACAGAGACTTCAAAGCAGCAAATATCCTTCTCGATTCAGAATTCAACGCCAAACTCTCAGACTTTGGATTAGCCAAAGAAGGTCCAAAGGACAACCGTTCACACGTGACAACCGAAGTCATGGGTACTGAAGGTTACGCAGCTCCAGAATACCTAGCAACAGGTTTCTCTTTCTTTAATGGCTCGTTTAATTCCATTTCAATTACACACAACATGAAATTTTCTAAAACATTGGCCTTTTTCTGTTTTCTGTCAGGTCATCTAACAACAAAATGTGATGTCTACAGCTTCGGTGTAGTGTTGCTAGAGATTCTATCTGGACGTCGAGTCATAGACAAAACCAAAGCACGGGAAGAAGAAAGCCTAGTGGAATGGGCAACACCTTACTTGCGAGACAAGCGAAAAGTGTTTAGGATAATGGACACAAAGCTTGTGGGTCAATACCCTAAGAAAGCAGCATTTATGATGTCTTTCTTGGCTTTACAATGTATCGGAGAGGTTAAGGTTAGACCATCGATGATTGAGGTCTTATCTCTTCTTGAGAAAGTTCCGATTCCAAGACATAGAAAGAGTAGAAGCAGAGGTTTTGCTTATACTAACTCTGCTTCTATGTCTTCAAAACGGTTTCTCAGACACCCTAAGGACTAAAAATGAAAATGGAGTATAAACCCTTTTTTGTTACTTCATTAATAACTTATGATTAATTACGAAAAAAGAGAATTCATGACCCATGATCTATTATAAAGTTTTAACCATACGTTACGTTTTATATCTTAATTGAGCAGATATCATTCAGTTAGTGGTTACTAATTATACATAATCATGATCATTGTTGTTATGTGTATATACTATATGCATGTGTATATATAAGAACATGGCCATAGAGTACACTATTTACTCGAAATGATTGCATGTCATATATGCATGGAGGGAGAGACGAAAAGAGAAGTCTAATCCAAACCTAAACGCCCCTATAAATTACCCACTAATTAACATTAATCATATCTTCTCGTAACTCCAAATTTAACAAGACAATCAATTAGCCGTCAATACCCCACTTCCCCTAATAGATTCATCATCACTTCCATTCTTTATTCTCTCTCCATATCTTACTACTACTCTCTCCTCTGAATGTATATATAAATCTTTTCTCCATCATCGATTGGCACAACACAAATTAATCTCTCTCACTTTCTCTACAATGGCTGATCACAAAACCAAAGAAGAGAAGCCATTCTCATTCCTAGCTCATTCACCTTCCTTTGATCACAGGTCAATTTCAGAAGCTTTTGTTTAGTTTTACTTTGTTACTAGTTTTTGTTTTCTCATAATTTAATATCTCTGTTTTTTTGCAAACGCATGCAGCTCCTTAAGTTATCCTTTATTTGACTGGGAAGAAGATCTTCTTGCTCTCCAAGAAAACTCTGCCTCTCAAGGTTTTCCTTTGACTACAACTTCTCTGTCTTTACCTGATCTTGAACCCTTGTCTGAAGGTATAACATATTAATATTATTACATAGTTGTCATATATCTATAGAGATATTTACAAAGAGGTTTCATGGGTCTTGCTTTGTTCTGTAGATGTACTCAATTCATACAGCTCTGTATCATGGAACGAAACAGAGCAAAACAGAGGAGATGGTGCTTCATCGGAGAAGAAGATGGAAAATGGAACAGTGAAAGAGACGACTAAGAAGAGGAAAATCAATGAGAGACACAGAGAACATAGCGTGAGAATCATCAGCGATATTACTACCTACACAACTAGTTCAGCATCAACAGCATTATCGAAAGAAACTGTCTCTCGCTACTTCTACATGCCCATAACTCAGGCTGCAATGGAACTTAACGTTGGTTTAACTCTTCTGAAAAGGAGATGTCGCGAATTGGGTATTCGCCGATGGCCTCATCGTAAACTCATGAGCCTTAACACTTTGATCAGTAATGTCAAGGTATGTAGAACAAGGCAGTACGCTTAATAGTATTGTTTTCAGAACTAGTGAACTCAAATGCATTTATAATCATATGAATAGGAGCTGCAGAAGACGGAAGGCGAAGAGAATGCAGAAAAACTTCAGGAAGCATTGGAGATGCTCGAGAAGGAGAAGAGGACGATTGAGGAGTTACCGGATTTGGAGTTCAAGGACAAGACAAAGAGGCTAAGACAAGCTTGTTTCAAGGCTAACCACAAGAGGAAGAAGAAGAGAAGTCTCAAGTCCGATCAGTTTCAAGTGCCCTCATGTTCAAGCAGCGGATCAGTCCCTAGTGATGAGTCGGTTGATGAAGCAGGAATGGAGAGTGATGAAGAAGTGAAGTATCTCTTGTGTGGTTTCTCAAGTGAGTTTAGTAGTGGTTTGTGAAATCTGTTTTTAGTGGGGGATTGGATTGTAAAGCCAAATGCTTTTTTGACTAATTCAATGAACAGAAAACATAGATATGATACTGAATAGTATATTGAAGAGCAACAACATTAGTGTAGATAGATTACTAACAAACAAAAAAAGAGAGATAGAGATGAAGAAAGGAAAGACCTCATACTTGTTTCTTAAACACTAAGCTTCTCAATCTCTCTCCTTAGAGCATTAGCCCTAACCAAACTCCCAATGGTGTTCACAGCCAACTTGATATCCTCCAAAGGACTACCCGGCGCAACCCGCTTGTACAGATAACTATCAAATGTCATCTTCTGAACATACTCATCAGCACACATCTCCACAAACGCTTCTCTTGCCGGATTCGATCTGTAAAACACTTTCTGTAACACATCAAGCACCCTGTACGTAGGCAAGTATGTCTTATCCCATTTCTCCAAGTACTTCCTCAAGTCCCCTTCGTCAATCATCTTCTTACCTGTTGCAACAAAAACACTCAGACTTTAGGATTCACTAAAACTTAAAACGCAGGAATCTGAAAAGGGCGTTTTTTTGTGTACTTACCATTCTGTGAACCTTCAACAATGGCTTCAGCACACATTCTTCCACTCTTAGCAGCAAAGTAGATCCCTTCACCAGAGCATTTAGTCACATACCCTGCAGCATCACCTACAAGAGCCACTCTTTTCGAGAGCCTACGTGGTCTCGGGTGTTCGGGAATCGGGTGAGCCTCAACACGGATGATCTTGCCTCCAAGAATCTTGTCTTTGGCTCTGTTACGAGTCGCGAGCTGGAACTTCTTGATGTCACCTTTGTGAGTCACAGTACCTGTTCCAACAGCTACATGGTCGCACTTAGGGAACACCCAACCATAGAAATCCGGCGACACATCATCCCCAACATACATCTCAGCTAAATCCTCATAGTAAGTCATTTTCTCATCAGGAATCCTAATTCTCTCCTGCAATTTTCCAAATTTCACCATTAAACTCCATAAGAACATGAATTCTCAAATCACTAAACACAGTTCCATAAATTCCATAAACTATAGAACAAATTTAAACTCAAGAATAAGAAATTTGACCTGAAATGCGATTGCGTAGTCGTAATCACCAGCATCAATAGATTTAGCAACCCTAGAGTTAGCTCCATCAGCTCCAATCACAGCATCAACCTCCATTGTCTTCTTCGTCCCTGTAGCTCCAGTTTTACCATCGTACTCAGTGTAATGCAAAGTGTACGGCGAGTCCCAGTTCTCCGGATGATCCATCTTAAGGAAGAGACCGTTAATCACGGTGGCTCCACTCTTCTCAGCTCTCTCTCTCAGATACGCATCAAGCACTTCTCTTCTCACCATACCTATATACTCATGCTCCTTAAGCGTACGACCAATATCAACAGCGATGTTCGACGGCGAAATCATCTTCATCTTCGTCACTCTCCGGTCGATAATGTCCAACGGCAAATTGAATTCTCCGACCATACAGAGAGGAATCGCGCCACCGCAAGGCTTGCAATTGTCCATCTTACGCTCGATGAGAATCGTCTCGATTCCTCCTTGAGCTAGAGTCTCTGCAGCTGCTCCACCTGCCGGACCACCACCGATGACGGCGACACGGAGCTTACGGTTGGAGAGTTTGGGAGTGGCTCTGGATGCGGTTACTCGGAGAGAGCTCCGTCGCTGGGGGAGAGAAAGTGACGACGGTACATGGGAGACGAAGTTTGTTTGCTCCGTTGATGATTGACGAAGCCCGGTGAAGGATTTGAGTGTAACCGTCGTCGCCATTGTTGTTTCGAGAAAAAGCTTGAGGAGGAGTTCAGTGAACACACTTCTTCGACAATGGACAATGGACTCTCTCTCTCTCTCTGGTTTGAGTTTGTGAAATCTTCTTTTGTTTAAATGTGGTTTTGTTTTAGTGGATTAGATATTGTTCGAGATTTCCGAGGGATGTATACCGTTGGATTGAGAAATGGACGGTAGTGATGAGATGAGGATAAAGTTACGGGTTTGGGTATTTATTTATCTGTTTTGTGGAGCAAACGGCTGAGTTTTGGCCACGTTGGAGAGTTATAACTATTTTGTTGTCTTTTGATTTTATTTTATGGGCACAAAACATCCGTAGAATTCCTGGTTCACACAAAAATGGTTCAATGGATAGTTCAGTGAATCAGTTGTGTTATTGTAATGACCAAAGGATATTTCAGTTTATTACTTTATTATGATAATGTGATGAGAGATAGAGATTGGAAGAATTGTATATTAACTCTCATAATGATAAAGGTTATGAAACATATGTTTATATAAAGAAGAGAAAGGTAAACCTAATTAATCTAGTTTCCTAATATACACAAATACATAAATGAGATAATTATTAGAAATATATTTAAAGATATTCTAGATTATTTTAGATCCTTCTATACGCTCCCTCAATCTCAAGGCGGTGATGGAGAACGTCGGAATGAACAGCTTGAGATTGACTTGCAAAATAGAAATAGTGAAGAAACCGAGAAGTTGCGAAGACGAGATGACTAGGCGTTGAGAAAAATGTCAACGTGAATTGCCCACGCCGACATGTTGAAGGTGCAGCGGAGATCGAGGAACCTTGTCTCGAGAAATGAACGTTGAGTGAAGCAAGGTAGGTCAGATCAAGGTGGTGTGGTGGTGGACGACGCCACAAAAGGTGATGAACCTTGTCTTGAAGAAGAAGACCACGATGATTTTTTTTTTTTTGTTGTTGTTATTTTTTTTTTTTAATAAAATAAAAAACAAAGATATTTTGAAGATATAAAACGGAAATTTTTTTTTTTTTTTAAATTGCAGAAAAAAAAAAAATTAAAAGAAGCACTTTGGCTTGATTTTAGAAGCACTTAGGCTTGATTCAGAGGTCTATGGTTAGACTTGAATGATTAGAAGCATTTTTGCTTAGATTCAGAGGTTCATGATGAACTTGAATGTTGGAAGCACTTGGCTTAAACACAAAAATAAAAAGAAAAAGCTCTTGGCTTAGATTCAGGAACGGAGCCGATCGTTAGATCATTGTGGCTCTAATACCATGTAGAGATTGATGAGAGTTTAGAATCATAAGAATAGTATATTGACTCTCATAAGAATTATCATAGTGGTTACATATGTTTATATAGAGAAATGAATCGTAACCTAATTAACCTAGTTTCCATAAGTACAAACTATAGTAATTATTAACAAATATACTAGAGAGTAGGCTAAATATTCTAGATCCTTCTATAATACTAGAGAAGTCTAGATCTCTTTCCATCACCAATGACGTTGTGTTCAAATCTCTCTCGCTCAACGGTGACTCTTTGTGGCTGCCAGCACCAATGACAGTGTTCATTCACCTAGTTGGGATCTCCATCGCATATTCTTCAGATCTATGTCGCTGGAAATCTGAGGTTTCTCAATGTCAAACGCTCCCACTGAATCACTACTTCACATTGATGATCAATCTCAAACCGTTGATTTCGCTATTATTCCATCACCGCCTTGAGATTGAGGGGGCGTATAGAAGGATCTAGAATATTTAGGATATTCTCTAGTATATTTGTTAATAATTACTATAGTTTGTACTTATGGAAACTAGGTTACTTAGGTTACGATTCATTTCTCTATATCAACATCTGTAACCACTATGATAATTCTTTTTTTTTTTTTTTTGACATCTTTGGATCGACAAGGCCCGATCCATAGCCAATCCCTACTACGCGGGGTAACGCGACTTAGTGGAGTCGAACTCCGGTGGGGAAGGCGGAGTCAAGTGGACTTAACCACTTGACTAAAGGCACATCTCCCCACTATGATAATTCTTATGAGAGTTAATATACAATTCTTCCAATCTCTATCTCTCATCACATTATCATATTATAGGCCTGGGCACAAGGCAAATACTTGCTATTTTTCAAGTACTTGTGACTCGCCTTGGCCCTTACAAGTAATTGAAAGTTCGGCTTGATACTCGACTCGTTTGAGCAAGTACTTGCTATAACAAGTACTCGTCCAAAATTTTGTTACTTGCAAGTAACTTGACCCGGCTTGTTACTTTCAAGGTAACTTGACTTAGCTTGTTACTTGCAAATACTTGTTACTTAAATCTTGAAGTCTTGAACATTTAATTTAAATAAAAAACCAATCTCATACATATTATAAAACATTCAGAATTTTAAACATCATAAAATCGCAAAACATCCTAGAATCACAACACATTGAAAGTTCCAAAAGATAAACATTTTAAAACAACTTGGTTCAAATTGAAATCATGTCTCTGTCTTCCTTCTTGAGTTCTTGTCTTCTTGATTCTCTTTTTTTTCCATATAAATAAAACCAACATAACAAATGTTACTATTAGTGTATTACGCTTTAAAACAAAACTTGAAAATCATGAAGTATCCATACCTTTCATTCTTCCTCCAAAGCTAAACCCACTCCTTGCACCAAATTTCCATAAGCATTTGAAGTTACAAATTCTGTTGAAACAACATAAAAGTTGTAAGTTCACATGTAAAAGAAAACATGCATATATAACGTACGAATAAGTGTATAATGTTAGTATATACCTTCTTCTAGAATTTCTAGTTGTTCAATTTCTTCCTCCAACAAACTTTGTTCATAATCGTTACGAATCCAGTCTTGAGTGCATATTAGAGCCTCAACAAGTCTCGGGGTTAGAGAACTGCGAAAAGGATCTATAACCCGACCACTTGTACTAAATGCTGACTCAGAAGCAACGGTTGAAACCGGTATAGCTAACAGATCTCTAGCCATTAGAGACAAAATCTTATATTGGGTTTTATAATTTTAGACTTTTAGTGATTGGGTTTAAATGTTTAATGGTCTTTATATCTTGTAATACAAAACGGGACGAGTAGCAGAGCGAGTAACGGAGCGAGTAACGAGCCAAGTATCAAAAAAATTTATGATACTTGATACTTGACCCTTACTTGCAAGTAAAGGAATTATACTACTTGGTACTTGCCTTGACAACACCGGGTACTTGTTTTTTCAAGGCGAGTACGAGCCGAGTAGCGAGTATCAACCGAGTAACGAGTACTTATGTCCAGGCCTACTTTATTAACTACTTTTATACTGTAAAAAAAATATATATATATATAGAAGAAGTTTTCAACCAAAATTAATTTGATCCGCTAACCAGCTCGATCGGGTTTAAGCGGGTCAAAAAAAACACTGGCTTATAATCAGACCGGATTAGTGTCCAAATTGCGGATTTAGCAGTATAACCGGCCGGGTTAGTCTGGATTTCAAAACACATTTGATCAAAATATTGATTACCTCTGTTTTAGACACTTTACTCTGTTTCAGTCAGAAAAAAGCCTCAACTACACACAAACAAACTGCACTTCATTGTCCAACGGCCCAAACCTCAAACAGTCACTTTCGGTGGTTATTTACCAGAATACCCCACTCAATCATCTGAATTTCTTCCAGCCCGAAGTAATTCACCTTTGGTCCATTGGGCTTGATATTGGCCCATTATTAAACATATTTTATCCAATCTTAGCTCATGAGAAAAATCAAATTACAAATGAGCATGCAAATTTTAGAAAGAAAAAAACTCTTTCCTCTTAAATTTTTTTTTTTTTGGGCCTGAATAGTATTTTTTCAATTAACATATGATTTTATTGATACTTTTAGTAAGAGAAGCTAAGTAACGAAATAGCAAGTGAAGAATACACGCAGGAGGAAAATCACAACAAGTGTTTGATAGATGTTTAAGTTTATTTATCTCACTACAAGGAAATATTCCGTATTAAGGTAAAGTTTATTTTTGGTTTTACTCTATATATGACTAATATGAGCTCATAAACCGCAGTGTTTAATACTCCCTAAAATAACAAAAATTTCAAGTTTACGGAAAGGAAACGGTTACAACTTACGACACCAACACGAGGAAAGAGTAGTTGAAGTAGGTTTGAATCAAATAAAAAACAAAACAATAATTCAAATTTTAAAAAACAAAACAAAATCAGTTGGTTCATCAACTCAAAATCTACCTTCACCACTTTATTCTCACACTACTCCTCCACCTTTCTTACTTAGTCCTATTTTTTCACCTCCACAACCCTTTTAAAACCACCCAAACAAATCTTTTTCAATCAACACGCATTCATATTTGGCGACATGAAGTTCTGCGCGATATTCATATTGTTTATCATTCTTGCAATCAACGGCTACGATTGCAAGATAGTCCAGTTTATATTTGGAGATTCATTGTCTGATGTAGGTAACAATAAGAATCTACCGAGGAGTTTAGCGACGGCGAATCTGCCCTTTTACGGTATTGATTTTGGCAATGGTTTGCCTAATGGAAGGTTCACTAACGGCCGCACTGTTTCAGACATTATAGGTAAGTCATGTGTATGAAATTAATAAATAGTTAGTCAATGATATCATGATATATCATGTGAATTACGTTTTAGTACAAGCTTATAATGGTTTTATTTAAATTTTAAGGTGATAAAATTGGATTGCCAAGACCAGTAGCCTTCTTGGATCCAACAATGAATGAAGATGTAATACTTGAAAATGGAGTGAACTATGCTTCAGGAGGTGGTGGAATCTTGAATGAAACTGGCGGTTATTTCGTAAGTTTTAATTTGCATCAAAATAAATATATAAGAATCACCAAAGAAATGTTCTCTAACGTCGTCTTTTTCTTTTTCACGGGGATTGTATTTGTGAAGATCCAAAGATTTTCGTTGTGGAAGCAAATAGAATTATTCCAAGGGACACAAGATGTAGTTGTGGCAAAGATAGGGAAAAAAGAAGCGGACAAGTTCTTCCAAGATGCTCGATACGTCGTCGCTTTAGGCAGCAATGACTTCATTAACAACTACTTGATGCCTGTCTATAGCGACTCTTGGAAATACAATGATCAAACCTTCGTCGACTACTTAATGGAAACTCTTGAATCTCAACTCAAGGTTAATTAGTCTAGGAAAAACACTCCAGTTACATATAGTTTTCATAAATATATAGTGTGACTGATGCATATATTGTGATATTATAATGTTGTAGATGTTGCATAGTTTAGGAGCGAGGAAGCTAATGGTGTTTGGGTTAGGACCAATGGGTTGTATCCCACTCCAAAGAGCTCTAAGCCTGGATGGCAATTGTCAAAACAAAGCGAGTAATCTTGCTAAGAAATTCAACAAAGCTGCGACCACAATGCTCCTAGATCTCGAGGCCAAGCTCCCTAACGCAAGCTACAGGTTTGGTGAAGCCTATGACCTCGTCAACGACATCATCACGAACCCTAAGAAATACGGTACTAATAAAACTTTGCTAAAATCAAACGAAGCATTCATAAATGAAATTTCATTTAGAAAAATAATTGATCATTCATTTTCAACACAAATTTACAAAAATATTTTTTGGCATGAAAAAAGTTTGATAGTTTCATTTCATAAAGGCTAATTCTTTTTATTGCTTTAATCATCAGATTAACTTGTTTAAATGTTTTGTCTGATAATAGGGTTTGACAACTCGGATTCGCCGTGTTGCTCGTTCTACAGAATCCGGCCGGCGCTGACATGTATTCCGGCGTCGACATTGTGTAAAGACAGAAGTAAGTATGTGTTTTGGGACGAGTATCATCCCACCGATAAGGCTAACGAGCTAGTTGCTAATATACTCATCAAAAGGTTTGACTTCATGCGTTCTGATGACGGTACCTCCCATGCTCCTTCTCCGGCGCCGGCTATTTCTCCTTCTCCCGACACTAACTGATTGAATTAATGTGTTAATATGTAATGGTTCCGGTTTGTGTAAATTGTGATCATGTTGTGGAGAGTTTCGTTTGTCTTTCATTTGATAATGTCAAATAATGTTTGGATTTTTTCTGTATTTTGTTCTTCTTTAATTTGTTCTATCTGTTAATTCGAGAATTTGTCTTATAATAGTATAGATATTATCCTTTGACACAAAAAAAAAAAAAAAAAAAATAGTAAAGATATTATCATGTTTGAGGTGGTTGTGCCCTCTACTGTCTCAGTGTCTCTCCACCAAATAAAACGAAAATAACAATAATTAATGTAATGAGGGAAAAAGCAGAGCAAAACTTTTTTGTGTATCAGTGGATGACCTAACCCGATCTGAGCTAAGTTAATCAATGGTGGAAAATACTAAAAAAAGAAAAAAGTCTCACCTTTTTAGACATGGGTTTCCTAAAGTTTGATATTTTCACATAGCCTTTTAGATTAAGATTATTCAATTATTAAGACTCCCCATGCTCTTTAAATCTTGATACATATCATTACAATTTTATAGAAGCTAGATTACAAGAAAATGGAATTAGCAATCAGAACAATGAGGAGTGTGGCGGTTGTTAGCACCGGATCCTGGATAATCGTTAATATCGTCAACGGTCATCATCTTCCGTGTCCTTGTTCTTCCCTTAGGATCAGTTTCAATGCGTCCCTATGAAAACATAAAGCATCCATACCAAAAAAAGAGTCAAAATACAGAAGAGACTTTGATCTCTGCTCACATTGTATGAGTGTGTGTATGGAGTGGATTCTTACCAGGTGGCTAATCTGATTCAATTCCTGTCCCTTGGTTTCAAAGTGGTCTGTTGATGATTTCTCAGTTCCTGCAGTAAATAAGAAATTAAAACAAGAAAGAAACAGAGCAAGAACAAAAAACTTGAGGAGGTTAGAGAGAGGTATTACAGACTTGCAGTGATTAGGACAGGCTTCCATGAGATCATGAGATATAGAAGAGCTAAAACCAAGAACATTCGAAAGTGTTGTCTTCTCTCCATCTACTTTCCCTCAAAAAACAGAAGATGTGTTCTGTTTCTGCTCTGTTCTTCAAGTAAAGCTTTATCTAATTTATACAAAAACCATGTGTGCTCTTCTTCTGGATCTCTAGTAGGATTATCGTGGAAGAAGATATCGGATATTAAAGAAGATTGCGCAAGTTTTCTCATTTTCTTTAGATCTCTACCGTTGATTGTGGAAATAAGCCTTTTGAGTTGGAGACATCACATGATGCTCATCAAAATTAAAACTCTTCCTTTTTTTAAGTACAACTAGTGTTGTATTATATAATACACTGACACACAAAGATATATACAAATCTGCTGAATATCATGTATGTACACTGTATATACACAAAAACTTGCATGTACATTGCTACAGTAACTCAACACAAATATTATTATTCATGACCTCTTCTGAGACAATCTGGTTGCTGCAAAATAATGAAACAAGAGATTGGTTTGTGGATTTTGACTGTGTATATAGAAGCAATCTTATGTGCATCAACCTGATTGTTATCAGAGTGGTCAAACACTGGTTGATCAGGAAATTGGAAGCTGTTGCTAACCGGATACATAGAAGGATCTTGTTGGAAGTTAAACTCTAAACCCGGTTCTAACTTCTTCTCTTCTTGCATACCAAATTAAGTAGAATACAAATATTCCTCGCGGAGTTGCAAACTCGAGCAGCTGTTTGCGTTTAGCTCGTTTAACACATTGCCTTCATGTCTTAAGCGGTCAAATCGTTGTAGGTTGCAATTCTGATCTTCTTGATTTTCAGACTCGAAGAAGCTTGAGTAAACCGGAACTGATGTAATATCCTTAATTTCCATCTCTCTGCTGATCATAAAACTTTGAATTGAATAGAACATATAACTCAAAATCATTTTATTAAGTGCATTAACAGTTTTCACTCATGATTATTTGCTGGTTATTGTTATTAGGAAGCCATGAGATTAAATGGTTTTCTTGAATGCCGTTTATTACTGATGATATCCCGCTCTAAAACTGCATGATAGAATATTTGGTCTGGTTTAAGAATGTGAGAGAGCAAAGAGGGACAAATTTTTTTGTAATCTACACATAACCTGTGTTGTTGTACATTCTGGTGACATGGGTTGATTCTTTCTGAAATGTTCCTGCAAAGCAAAATCTGCCTCCATTAGTAACTCTTAACATTTTCATATGTGTGTGTAATCAAGCCATATATAACCATGACATACCTTGCACCTAAGAAGAACTCATTTATATTAACATCATGATCAAGTTTCATAAGAAAAATTCTAGAGGGCCTATAAAATAAGTAGATGTTTTTTTTTTTTTTGGTTTTAAAATAAGTAGATGTTTCAGCTCAATCTGTTTCCCAAAACCAATAATTATTATGAATAAGGAAGAGAGTTACCTCAAGGCTATCCATTTTTCTGTTATGTTCAAAACAAAAAGTTATCAGTCTTCATTACACAACTATATCACGATCAGGAGTCTATATGTATGTACTTGAGAGTAGAGAAAAATCATGCTTAAACATAAACCATGAACTTTTCAAGATTCAGGTGAAGTTCCCTCAGGTAACCATAAAAATGATCCAGTTGATTTCCTTACTTACCTATGATCTCTGGCTTTCTTCAAAATCCCACTTCTTTGCTTTGATTATGTATTTTGCCTGTTGCTACTACTCTCTAACCTCTTTATCATCAGGCTTAATCCTAACCATTCAAATCTAACAATTTACAAATAGAGATGAAAAAATAAGAATGAAGAATTCTTTTAGGTACTAACTTCAACTACTTGTGGTTCTTTGGTATTCAACAGCTAAAACCATAGACTTGTCAAGAAAGACAAAAATCTCCAAATCCGAAATTGATTTGTACAATGTGAAATTGGCTTAATCCAAACATTAACATATAGTATAAGAAAGGCAAAGTCTTTGAGACAAGAGAAACCACTGTGAAGGACGAAAACGGAGAATTAACAGAAACAGAGGATTAGGGAATGTTCACTTGGAAACAGCAGAGGAAGAAGGCAGTTTAATTCGTTAATCAATTAGGCTGTTCCGTTTAATTAACACTTTTTGATTATTCGGAAGTTTCAAACTATTTTTTTTTTAACAATTTGGTTGGGCCTTTAACTTATCTAATGGGCCATTAATATTTTCACATGAGCCCAGTCGTATCTTTTGAGTTCCTTCTATTTGCCCTAATTTTCGCCGCCTCTCTGCTTATATATTTAAAGCCATCGCCATTCAGTGGAGATCAATTGGAGCCACTTCTCTTGAAACCCTAGTCTTTTTTAGCTCTCCAAATTCGCTTATCGCGAGGGCTTCTTACAGATTCACTGTATTTTTGTTTGCGTTGTGGTTATTTTCTCTGTTATTGCTGTTTTTCTTTTGATGCCTGTGATGGTATTAAATATACTTTGAGAGCTTAGTCTCTAGGAAAACAAACCAACTCTGAGGCATCTTGAATCCTTTTGTGTCTGTTAATGAAATCGAGATTAGCTTGTTTTTTTTTAGTAGGTATAGTGTCTGTGCAAGTGATGATAAAAAGACAGGGACATCAGATTCTCCTTTTGGAGAAATATAATGATGACTATGTCTAGATGGGAATCTCTCTGATGCACTTTTTATGATGTTTGTTTTGTGCCGGTGATGTATATCTATTGATGTGTTTTCATCAGATTTTCATAGTGATGAATTATATCACAATTGTCACTACCTCTGAGGCATATTCTTGGTTTATTGTTTTTTTTTTGTTACCTATGTTTGAACTTAACTAGTTCTTAGAAGCCTGGTGATTGCATCTAAGAACGGAGATATGAAGGGTTGTTTTGTTGTAGCCTAATTTGAGTTTGGGCTCCAAAGCTTACCCAATGTAATCATCTTGCTTTACTGTATATGAAGGCCTCTTATTCCTGCTCTTGTCTCACGTATTGAATCTACGTACTTAGTTTTTTATGCAGGAAGACGTGTCCAGACATGGATTTCATAGCTTCCAAGATTATTCCAAGGTTTTGTATCACATTTAGTTTCCCAGACGTAGTGTTCATACAGATGTAAAAATTATATATTTTCTTTTATTCATAATATCTTCTCTATTCAATTGTATACATTTTCCAAGAATCGACGATAATCAAAATTAGACTATTTAACCAATCGAGCAAATATAAGCGAACGTTAGAATTAAAGTTTCGATCCTTATCAAATGGAACCAAATTCATAATTAACAATCTTTGGTAAGAAGTTATACATAAACAACAATGATCGAAAAAATGAAGTTTCTTTCTCCTTGCTTAATGGTCCATCTCTACATTTTGCTCCATGGTCTTCACATATAGACAAACAAACCCACAATTTGACAAACTTCTCCAGAATAAACAAAATGTTTCCCATTGAATCAACATCATTCAGAACCGTGATGCTTTCCAACAGTATCAAGACCTTCTGTTCTGCTTCGAACAATCCGATGAAACACTTCCCTCACTTTCCTCTCAAACGGATCCAAACCATTCTTCAAAGCTTGTTGAAGCTTCCCCAATTCCTCAACCCTCTCTCTCACTTCCATCTCTTTCTCATCAGACAAAGGAAACTGAACAGAATCAACCAACTCATTCATCAATCTTGAACTCCTCTCAAACTGATGTATCTCTTTCAACAACCCACAAGTGTTCTTCCTCTCACGCTTCTTCGATTCCTCAATGATCCTATCGTGCAAGGACATCAATGAACCTCCCCATTGGTAATTCCTAGGAACATTGAAATGCACTTGCAAGCCTCTGTCTTGACAAGGAATCGCTGCCACAAGCGCCCACATCACAAACAACAATATCGAAGTCATCGTATAAACCGGAACAGCAAGACCATTAGTTGCAGTAATGTCACTAGCTCGAGGCGTAGCTAAATTGTTCCCAATAGCTTGTAATTGCTTAGAAGCAGACCATGATCTTGAAACACTCCAAGAAAGCGACCTGAAATGCCCGATTGTTCGGTGATGAAGATGCTCCTTGTTCCTTCCAAAAGAGCGGTTACGATGCTGCGACGACACTGAGCTTGAAGATGAATCCTTCTCATCAAGCATTCCAATAGCTAACTCAATCAAAGTCTTCCTCGCACGACGAAACTGACCTTCTCCTAGAGGTCTCTGGCTACTACTACTTCCTCCACCGTTGTTGTTGAAAGCGCAGATTACGATTTCAATAAGCTTCTGCCATTGACGGATCTGTTCAACACCATCACGAATGGCGTTACAAACATCAAGAGCTTTAACACTTCTCTCGAAGTAATCTGCAATCAATCGATCCGTCGGTGGTTTAGTAATCATGGAACGATGATTGATGACGATGGCACGAAACTCTTCTTGACAAGATAGAAACGAATCAAGAAGCTTCCCAACCCATTCAAGAGACAGTAGATCTTCACAACTAGAGGCATTGAGATCGATAAACCTCTCAGCAACTTTTCTCTGAAACGAATCAAGCTCTGCTTCCATCTGAGTCAACTCGACGGTAACTGTCGTTGAGTCAACCGAGTTCACCGCCGTGTCTCGCCGTAAATTGAGAAAAGACCTCCCGAATGATCTTTGATAATCCGTTGCTGGCATCCTCAAAATCAAAAAAAAAGATGAAAAATTGTAAAATTGTGATAAATCAAATTCGAGAGAAATTTCTCATTCCCCGGAAAATAAAAATCGCTCCTTTTTTTTTTTCTGTTTTTGGGAGCAGAGAGAGTGATGATGATAAAAATTAAAAACCCTAATGGGAATGGGATTGGCTTTATATTGATAATTGAGAGAGAATTTTGACCGCGTCTTTATTTTTTTTTAGTATGTATTTTGTGATAAATTTGGAAAAAGGATTTATATTAAAGTTTTTCTCATTCCAACGAAAAAGATCTTTTTTGTCTATTTCGATTTTTGTTTATTTTTAATTTTTGCGTTGTTACTCGTCCGAAACACGCAGCTTACACGTAAATTAATAAACCAAGTAGGGAAAAAAATAAAATAAAATAGGAACAAAAATATATCTCAGCCGTTGGATTAAGAAGTGATTCGCGCAGACATATGGCTGTGAGAGGAGCGACATGACAGCACGTGGAAGATGTAAGAACGGAGGCCACGTGGCGAGACGTGAGATGGGGAAGAGTGACGGAGAAGGAAACAACAGCTCAGTCTTAGTTGGCGCGTCACAGAGACTTGGTCCCTCTGATTCGTTTTTTTGCAATTTTTCTAGAAACTTTAAGCCAAT